ACTTCACCCATAGCAGAGCTCCCCGTTCGTCTGTGTACGTTTCTTCCTACGCTTCATTTCATTTCATCAGTTCACCCATAGCAGAGCTCCCCGTTCGCTTGTGTACATTTCTCCGCACCCACATTTGCTCGTCACGTCACCTGCCAACGCTGTACGTCGTGTCGCCTGCTGCTACTGTCGTTGGTGCCCGTCGCCTGTGATACGTTTCTCCCCACCCGGCTCTGCATGTCACGCCACCTGCCACCTCTGTAGGTCTTCAAGAGGTAAGTTTTCGTGTTTGCTTTAGCCATTGTAGGTTTACAGTATTGAATCTGTAAGTAATAATGTCGTCAAGAGAGGGAAACATCACGGGTGCCTTTAGCTAATTTAGAGATGTATTGTAAGTAGTTTAGTCATTTGAATGTGTTTCGTAGGCATTCTTTCGTGATTTTGATTTTGAAAATTAGATTTGTATTATAATGTAGTTATTTTGAGAGTGGAGTTGGATTTCGTGTAGGCATTATAATGTAGTTATTTCGTGTTTACGTAGCTAATTTGATTTTGAAAATTAGATTTGTAACAATGGATCGGAGTTGGATCAATTATAGACGAACAACAAATGAATATGAGAGTGGAGTAGAACAATTCCTTGAATTTGCTAAGATGAATGTTCCGGATAATGATGGAAGATTCTATTGCCCTTGTGTTAACTGCTTGAATGAGCGAAGATTACCGACTAAAGTTATTCGGGAACATGTTCTTTGTGATGGTTTCCTAAAGAGTTACATAAAGTGGACATGGCATGGTGAATTATTAAACATGCCAAGTGTAGAAGACAAAGAAGAAGTTGATCTAGAGATGGATGATCAGCTGGAGGAAATGATTCATGAGCTTGGACAAGATGCCTTCCAACATACACATGTGTACGAGAAGTTGTCCAATGATGCAAAAGAGCCTTTGTATACAAATTGTACTAAGTTCACACGATTGTCGACGGTACTAAAATTGTTCAATGTGAAGGCAAAGAATGGGTGGATCGATAAAAGTTTCACGGAATTGCTTGAGTTGTTGAGTGACATGCTCCCCGAAGGTAACACATTGCCAACCCGCAATTATGATGCTAAGAAGATATTGTGTCCAATGGGTATGGAGTACCACAAAATTCATGCATGTCTGAATGATTGTGTGTTGTACAGGAAAGAATTTGAGAACTGTCACGAATGTCCACAATGCGGGGAATCACGATACAAGAAGAAGGATGGTGATTCTGACAATGATGTAATGAAGGGTACCCCGGCAAAAGTGTTATGGTATCTTCCCATTGTTCCAAGGTTGAAACGATTATTCACTAATGGAAATGATGCAAAGCTCACTAGATGGCATGCAGATAGTCGTATTAAAGATGGTCAGTTGAGGCATCCGGCAGATGGATTGCAATGGAAAAAAATTGATTCCATCTTCCAGAATTTTGGTAATGATCCAAGAAACATTAGGTTTGGACTTGCTACAGATGGAATGAATCCTAAACTAATTATATATGTTATATTACAATAGGCATATGTATTTGCTAAAAAATCATTCCTTTGTGTTGTAGGATGAGTTGGTTGAGCAGAGCACTCAGGGATCATTCCACCCACATGGCCGTCAGGATATATTGGCAGTGGCCATTGGTACCCCAGAGCATCCTGGACGTGTTCGTGGTGCTGGACGAGGGGTGGGCATCAGACAGTACTTTGGTGCCCCATCCGTGGCAACTCCTTCTTTGAGGCATCTGAATGAGCAAGAGTTTGAGTCCCTCAAACAACAAATTAGGAAGGAGATTCGAGATGAGGTGTACTCTGACTTGAAGGCAGAGTTATTGAGCTCAATGCGAGCAGAGTTGGCATCTTTGTCCTCTCAACCTTCCGTCCCCGCACGAGAGGCATCCCCGATTCATGTCGAGTACAAAGGAGAGTTGTGATGCTCCCGATAGAGGGGCGGAGGTTGCTCCTACCGACACTCGCCGACCGTGAGTTGTATGTTGCGGGTCCTCCCGAGCATTTGGTGGCATACGGTACGTATTATATCTTTGACATGTATTTGGTACAGTTGTTAAGCATTATATAGTCTAAAATATTTTATCCTTTGTTTACCTTAGGGAAAATGTATGCATTGGGGTCAACCATCCACCACCGTAGTATTGGAGATGATATGATAAGAGTGGTGGTTGTAGATGTCCGGGATGCTGTCGCCCTAATCCCTATTCCCATCGAAGAGGTTCAAACAAGTGGGACGGACACCTGGAAATTTTATCTTATGGCCAGTTTCATTAACAAGACCCATCCCAACACATGCACAGTGTTGATTTATGCATTGAACGATAGTACTTATTAATTTTTGATAGGTTGATGTATATTAATGTTATTGATTTTTGGTACTTGTATAGAAAGAGGCTGAAAAAGCAAAGGAAGTTGTGCATGAATCACCACCACCACCATCTCGCTTTACAAGTCGGTGCAGATCGGCAGCGACTATCGGGACCACTTCCATACAGTTAGATATGCCACCCGAAGTCGTATGCAGGACCAAGACGATCCCTTTTTTCTTACTCCAAAGGGATATTTTTGATATTCTCACCTGGTATCGATATGCTATGTGTATCGGTGTTGCAGCTTTGGGAAATGTAAGTATATTTACATATTTTTTATATTCTCACTCGGTACATTATTTTATAACTTTATTTATTTTCAATGTTGAAGGTATTTACATCATTTGTGTGTTGAGAGGAAGATCCGCTTTCTCTATGGATTTGTTGACCTCGTTGCCATTCAGCCTCGTTGGGAATAAAGTCGAAGAGGTGCAAACGTACTTAATAGAGGCATTTCAAACTCGGGGGCAAAGAAGTCTACTTAGCACCTTACTTGCATCGTAAGTATACATCTTATAAATTAATGCACATTTATGTAAAATTGAAATTTTACTAATATTATTTCAACGTGCAGGGGTCATTGGCAGCTCATAATCATTGTTCCTCGGCAATTTCTTGTGATTCTCTTGTGTTCATTACACAAGAAACCAAATGATTTGGATATTAGAAAGCACATAGACGCGTAAGTTTGGTTTTTTTAATTGTTGTATCATATGTGCACTACTTACACCAAAATTATTTGTCCTTTTGTAGAGCTTTGGAAGCTCACCTAAGGTTGCAAGGCCTTCCATCTCATGCTAGAAAGAAGTTGACGTATATTGCACCAAAGGTGACCAAACACCTCTTACTCGTTGTTCAATTTGTCATTTAAAGTTAATCCGACATGTATTTAACTTGTAGTGTCCACACCAACCGGAAGCCATGAGTGCGGGTATTATGTGATGAAGCACATGCACACCATCGTAGCCAAAAATATTATGGGCTCATGGAGGGAGGTAAATATACTATAATTAAGTCAAATATGCCAATTATGTAAATGATTTCTAAATCCGAAATGTTTCAATATGTAGGAATTTACAGACTCATCTCCAATGAAGATTGAAGTGTTAGACGATATTAGAGAGCAAGTGGGCTTCTTTCCTTTTAAGTATTCAATCTTCATAGCAAATTTGACTTGTAACAATTTAGATTGAATTGATTTAAGTTAGCAAATTTACATTCGTTTAAGTAAATGAACTGTCTGGAACCGAGGTACATATATTGATTTCAATATGTTTCATATGTACATATCTCGTCTATGAATCGGATCTCGTCTCGTATCGGATATATATCTCGTAGCAAATTTATATATGAACTGTGCATATCTCGTCTCGTATCGGATCTGTGAATATTTGTCTCGGAACTCGTGATGAATAGGCAGTGTCTACTCGAAGAAAGGTAGCATCTCGTAAAGAAAATGCAGGTATTTTAAAAAAATAACACTTTCTACGTCGGTTATGTCATTACCCGACGTAGAAAGTACTTTCTACGCTCGGTTAATGACATAACCGACGTAGAAAGTGTAACATTTTATGTCGGTTATAGGCATAATCGACATTGATAACACATACAATCACTGCGTATCGTTAACCGATATAGATACTCGGGTTATAGAAAGTTAGAAAGTAAGACTTTCTATGTCGGTTATAAGTTTAACCGACATAGAAAGTAAGACTTTCTATGTCGATTATCGTTGTTAACCGACATAGAAAGTATTATGACAAGTCGGAATCAGTTATGATCGATCGAATAGCTCTATGACCGATCGTAACCAGCTTATGACCGATCGAATAGCTCATAGAAAGTAAGACTTTCTACGTCGGTTCCCTTACTAACCGACGTAGAAAGTCTTTCTATGACCGATCGTAACCAGCTTATGATCGATCAAAATAGCTCTATGACCAATCGTAACCAGCTTTTGACCGATTATAATAGCTCATAGAAAGTAGGGCTTTCTACGCTCGGCTCCTAATAACCGACGTAAAAGTCTTACTTTCTACGCTCGCTATTAGGAACCGACGTAGAAAGTCTTACTTTCTATGACCCCGTATCTATGTCGCCGCTTTAACCGACGTAGAAATCCCATTTTAACCGACGTAAAAAGCCTTTTGTGCAGTAGTGATTAAGTTATATTTATTAATTGTGAAAATATATAAAAAAATTAGGTCTAATTCATGAAGAGTGGATGTTTAAATCATTTAAGTCTAACACTGCATATCTTCCAGATTTCAGTTATATATATAATAAAATAATGCTGAATATAAAAGGATAGAGAAATGAAAAATATAAGTAGATGTTTATAATTTGTCTATCATTACTCTTATTATAAAGGAAGAAACATTAACCGAAGCAAAGAAGTGCAGTTTTATGAAAGCGCACACACAAACAACACTGCTTAACTTTGTTCCTACTTCATCATACACGGTAGACAATTTCAGTTTCATTACATCCCAAAGCAATGATCTTCTCTCTCTTTTTTTCTTTTTCTTTTTTTTTTCCCTTTTCCAATAAAAATGGAACGGCAAATGTGGTGGTGCATTGGATCTTCTGCAGGAAACGCCACTCGGACTTCCTACTATGGTAACCATCCAGCCATGTAATTGCTCATGCTTGGACCTGCTGTCACCACTGATACTGGATCAGGCTGATACCTGCACTCGAACAAAATCATTGTTCAAAAGTTACTCAAATCTAAAAGGCTTTCACCAAAAAAGAAAATTTAAAATATAGTTATGCCAATTAATCAAATAAACTCCCGTTATGTGACCCCACTTCTACACTAGTCATGTTTACATAAAAGATGCACTCATATTACAGTGAACCAAATTTATCACTGGTGCATTTTTTATCTACCTTACTAGTGAATTGATACATTTAATTACAAGAGTAATATTGTGAACTGTAAATTGATCAATTATTGAGTCAACAATGAGTGCATACCCAATTTGTAACGTTGGCTCACACTCCAACGGTTGAAAGAGTGCGTCACCCTGAGCTTGACCTGGATGCCTACCATATCCCATGTCTTCAACTCCAGGATTCAGTTGGAGTGGATTTATTTGATACCCTTCCAACTGCTACACAGCACACAAAGTGATTTATACCCATCAATTTCCAATATGACAATAGTTGTTCAGGATTTTGGTCTTCCAATTGTATCTTACGGCAATGTTTTGGTTTTGCATGATTCTTATACTTGGTAATTCTATTTGTTGAATTGAACATAGATACCATGAGCCATTTTAAATGCCTTGTTATATCTTTGGACCATGACCATATATATACTTTGAGGGATGATGCATTTTTACGTGTATAGGTTGATGAGTTCTAACTTACCCTTTGTCTGAGAGACCTGTTAGCCTCGCTTAGCAAGTGTTCCTACACAGGTGACAGAAGTTGGTAAACAAACACAAGTACATCACAGAAGAAGATGGTTAATTAAACGGTGGCAACGGAAACCAAAATTCTTTTCATACCTTACGCTGAAGATCAGAGAGCTGATCCAGCATGAACTGGGTCTGCAAAGAAAACATGCAAAAGTGAAATACAAATACATACTCGTATAATTACATGTTGCAAAGTCATTTATTTATATAATTAAGGCGTCAAAACGCAGTTTTTACTCAGAAAATAAACATTTTGGGATATATATATCTATCTTTAGAGTTACATATGCCCGAGTTTCTCTTCACTAATTAACGGAAAAAGAACGGAAACTTTCAATTTTAATAATCATGTGCCCCCAATACTTCTAGATCTATAATTTGATGTAGTTATTGGTAATTAAAAAATGAAACATGAGTACCCTTGTTGATCTTATTTGCTTCAAGGACGAATCTAGCTGCCTTTCAAGAGATTCGAGTTCTTTGCTGCTTAGAGGACCAAGATCTTCTCCCATAAGGTTCCTGAGAGTGTAAAAGTTAAGGACTTTGATGTTAGTGTATCAACCAATAATAATCAGGCATATTAGAAGGCCCAGTAGGGCATGAGTACCTCTGGGACCGTTGTAGGGCCTCATAACGTGCCTTCAGCTTCAAGTACTCCTGTTGACTGCTTAATTCCTATAATTGGGCAGCAAAATCAAACCATATAATTAAAGGAACACGTACGAATTCATACATATATAGTCATTCTTAAAACTTTTTCCATACTGACCCAGACAACTGCATTTCAATTACTTCTATTTGCAGAAGCTAGTCTTGCACAAAACTCTCACCTAACCTAATTTTATTCGTTAAAATTTAATATGTTTTAAGATATCTTTGTATTACTTATTAACAATGTGATATATATCTAACATGTTAGCTTACGTTCCAATTCAAAATTATCTACAGCACAATGTGAAGGGAGACTTTTTTGAGAATTAAAATTAACGAAAAACTAAAAGACTAAAATCAAATTTAATTATATTTATAGTTACTACAAAATTCTATTTAGTCAAAACGGATTATTAAAGTGACATACCATCCATCAACGTATTAAAATTTCGCAAAACCGTTATGTTCAATAAATTATAAAAAAAAAATAGAGGGTAAACACGTATGGGATATACAAAAGTGCTACTTTTGCGCAGGAGAATTTAATCATAAAAATAAAAGTTTTAGGATTTGTTTCGAAAATGAATTTTTTGTAATTTAAATTATTTTTGGTTTTATATTTTTAAATATTTTTTAAACAAATTAATTCATAACTTCGTATAGTTTAGATAACATAATTTCATTTTTACTATGCACACACAAACAATTAAAATTAAAAGTTTAAAACTAAACATTAACTAATTTTAAATATTTAATGTGAGAGAGACATACATATAAGAGAAAAAAATGTTTTTCTTTTAAATATTATCACGTTGTGAAATTTAAATTCTTCAATCAAAATATTTTCATAAATTTTTTAAAATTTAAATTTTTTTTTATAAAGTTATTTATCTAGGACTATAAAACATTTTAAAATCTCTAAAACAAATAATTACTTTCTACATAATTTTCTTTCAAATGCCAAAAGATTTAGTTAAATACGTCTTATTATTATTACATAGGCTTTCGATACAATAATTTGATAAATAAAATTATGTTATGTTTTTAAAAAAAACAATATTATGCATATTAGCAATTTAGATTAAAAAACATATTTATGAAATTTTGCTGAAATATAAAGAATACAAGATATTGACGGATGATGTGAACGAGAAAGAAAGTAACCAAAAAGGCATGCTAAAACACAATTCACAAACATACACAAGAAAATTACGTAAATTAAAAATCAGTAATAACTAAATGCAGTTAAATTAGAAATTACACTACTAAAAATTCTCATTTTTTATGGGAATATTTTTGTAAAATTTTGATAAAAATTGCAAGAAATAAGTTTTCTATAAATTTAAACAATTTTTTGTAAGAAAATTGGTAGAAAAAAACTAGTTTTCTAGTAGTGTTAACAATAACATAAAGTTAATTAAATGCATAATTTATTTTTCTTTTTTACTCCATATGTAATTAGATAACATATTTTGTTATTGATGTCAAATCCATATGCATAGCTTTAGTCTATGACACTTTTTGTTATTGAAGAAATGTGTAAAATAATTACTCTGGACTAAAGGCTATTTAACCCAGAATCTATTTTGTTGTCAAAGTTTCATTTTTCTATTGCAACAAATTGCATTTTCAATTCTAAATTTTCCTATCTTATTTCTTATATTAATTTACTAATCATGGGAATGCCAAACTTAATTATTGTAGTTAGTTTTTAAAAATAAATATGACTCGTGAAACATTTCTTTTCCTGCTTTAATTAAAGAATCAAACTATAAGAGTAGTGCTCATTCTGCAAAATTTAAAGGATTATGTCTCAAGATGGACCTTAGTGTACAAAACTCTTTTTTCTAAACGACTAGACTATATTGGCTAGCACATATGGATTAAAGAACTATTAAGAGGAAATTTTTATTATTTGTGTTTTATGTTGTAATAACATCACTAAAACTATGTTTCAATATGCAAAATAAGTTATATGAGCACATAGCAGCTACAACTAGGTAAGAAAATGAATTAATTATATGATACAAAGGGACTTGTTGTTAAATATTCTTTTGGCCACAATAACAAAATACACATACATAAATAAAAATATTTCTTTACATATTGCAGTATGTAAACGTGAAAACAAACAGATTATTAATGAACAGGATATTATCAAATAAATGTGCAGTAAAGGAATTGGAAGCTTCTCTGCGGCAGGGATTCAATAACAAATAAATTTTCCACTCTTATTTTCTTTTTTATATGCAAATTAAGTGACTTAATGCAGCTTGCTACAAGTATAAGCTTAAATTGTTTAGGCACCAGACCAGAATTATTAAGAAATAAAGGACGTTTATATTTTTAATTCATATGCTTTAATTTGTTAATCTTTAAAATATATCGCTTTTACACAATATTGTTTCCTAATTTTTTTTAATTATAATTTTGTTCACAAAACCTTAATAAACCGAGCTCAATGACATCGATCAAGATCCATACAGTGGAATCTCGCTTAATAGGATAAGGCTTCACATTTTTAAAACTATTAATAGAGTATATTAACCGAAAATAAAAATAGAAATAAAACCAAACAAGTTGGATTTTGGAATTTCTTATCTAAATAATATAATAAGCTGAATTAATTATATTTTATATTGCTACCATAGTTTTACATAAACATAAATACATTTTTTTAAATAATAATAATCTTTATATAAAAATAAATTCTTATTTCAGCTTGCTAGATTCTGCATTTTAGTAGTGTTGGTGAGTTTTTACAGCACAACTAAATACTATGAACAGTTACAAAACTTTTTATTTGCTGAAGAAAAAAGAAGTATGTTTTCAGTATTTTACTTTATTTTTTCTTAGTATTTGTTTATCTCCTTGAAATTCTTTTTCAAACAATAACTTTATTAAGGTGATAATATTCCTGCACTGGCAAATTGTTTATATACACAACCAGGTAACCTTTGAGCAGCAACGACACAACATATATCGACAATGCTAAACGTAATATGAAACAGTTAATTATGCCCCTTTAAGAACATTTTAGTAAATAATTGCAGCTCATGAATCCCAATCCACTTGTAGTAAAACAAAAACAGAAACATGGATAAGGGGGGAAAACAGCGATCAATTAAGCAAGTTAATTAATGGGCAAAAAATGAACTTAAATACGATAGATAGGACTATTCACCATTACCAAGGCTTCCCGTGTAGACACATTAGCCTCAGGCGCACCATAGTTACATTTCTGGTACCTCTCTAACGTTTTGAGCATGCTGCACGTTTTAAGAAAAATATATGTTATTTGTGTTAGCCATATGTCAGAAATGTAACGTACTACAAAACAATCCAAATGAATTGACTAAAACTACCTTCTACGATACAAATTACTTCTCAATAATATTAGTCAAGGACAAATTAACTCAATTCTTAAAACATATCTCTTTACTTCAATTGTGCTTTAAGTCCAACAATATATGAAAATAGACACACTTTCTAACAGGAACAAGTTAACTTAGAATTAAAAATAATAATAAACGATGAGATACCCATTTGAAGGCAATGATCGAAATGCTCCTTGGATGTTGGAAAAAAACCACAAGAGGTGCAGAAAATTGGTAAATTAATGAGAAGTGAAAGATCTAAGGACAAAATCCGTAATACTATAGGGCAGATATAAAGAACCATCAAGTATCATCAACCTCTGAATTTCTTGACCAGGACAGAGGGTCACTGGTGAAAGAATTTCATGCATACTTCACCAAAGTAGGTGGTACTAAATGATGCCATTTATCCTTATATTAAGATGAGAAGAAATAAAAAATAATGGGAGAAAAAATAAATAAATTTAAACTGAAGGAAAAGCTATAAAAGGAATTTTAGAGTGTTGAAAAAAAAAATCTTTATTTTTTAATTCACATGAGAATTTTTTAAATTCTCGTTTTTTTTTTTCATTTTTTCTCTACAACATAAAATTGTTTACACGTCATTTTTTAGCATAATTTTTTGTATTATATCAAATACTTTATCTCACAGTTTTCCTATTTTCTCTTCTCATCTCTATTGCATAAGAAAGTATACAAACTAGTTATATAAATACAATAGCCCAATCACTAATGTTAATATTAAAATGAGTAAGTATTGGATTTGGCGATGAGACTTCTTTCGTTGATAAACGTGTTAACATCAGGCCAAAAAATGGAATTATGTATATTTAGGGCAAAATATTTATAGAAAAAAGAAACTGGGTATCCTACGAATTAATGTAGGTGAGGTAAGATCATTCGTGTGGAGTAACACCTTTTAAACCCAGAAGAAAAAGCATGGAACATACCAAGTTCCTAACAGAATTTTCGGTACAAAAATCAGATCTGAAAGGACCGGAGAATACTCCACAAAGAAAATAAACATACTGACAGAAAGAAGTACTAACCTTCGCAAGACGAGAATTAATTTGAATGTCAAACCAATTGACAGAAAATATCTGTCTGGATAGGAATAGTGAAGTGATTGAAAAGCATGTATGGAAGGAAGAAGAGGCTGGGGAGAAAAAGATGGCGTTATGATTCTGAAATTTGGACTCTGATTTAACAAAATGTCCATTCTGATTTAACAAAATGTCTCTATCATGAAACGTTTAAACGAAAATATCTGCTGTCAGCAACATGGAGAATTAATTAAGCAAGCTATGGACTCCAAAGTGAAAACTCCATTTTGTTCTTCGGTCATGATTGTGGATCATGAACAAGGTCCAGGTAATGGAAGTGCTTGACCAAAATAGAAAGCACGGAAGCTAAGGCAAACCAGAAGATAGAGAAAAAAAAATCTATGTAAAACATAAAACAATTAAAAAAAAAACTCAAAATGGGAGAAAAATGTAAAACTACTACAGATCGATGGCGAGAGATGCAAGGAGCAAAACCACTATGTGGAAAAGAAACCCTAGGCTCCAGAATTTTTTTTTTTAGAAAAAAAAACAAGACGTATTTATTTGAGAGTACAGAAATAAGAGATGAGTAGGTTGTTTGGGTGATTTTTAAGAGTGAAAGAAAGAAAAGAGTAGCTGGAAAAACTGGAAATGGAAGAAATAATTGAATATTTATATGGTTGTTTTGTTTTACACAAGAGCTAATTACACCGAAAAGAGACCTGACCCAAGAGTCCAAAATGACTTTTGGGAAACGCTTTTGAACCAGATCTGTTTGATGGAGCAGAAAAACGGCAAACTCAAATGCTGGGTTTAGCACCAAAAGAGGGAAAGAAAGAGAAAGGTGAAGACTGAGCGAAAAACAATTTAAAAAAGAAAGGAGGGCAGAGAGGAGAAAAAGAAAGAAAAAAACAGCAAAAATAGAGTTGATACAATACAACAGTGATCCTCCCTTGCTTAATCTATTTCATGTATGTCTGTTGGGGTTTAACGCGTTTCCAGTTGCAGATCTAACAGCAACACGATCGCAGAAACCCTCAACCTGCTAAAAACGCCGAGACATTTCACGGAAACGGAAAAACCCAAACAGTGAAAAAAGAAAATAAACTTTTCTCCTCTTTTCTCAAACAAAAAATACCGCCACCTGTCTGAAAACAGCAAAAATCAAACGAGAGAGATTTCGAGATCTTAAAACCTAAACAAACAAAAAAATTCACCACCACGAGTTTTATTTCATTTCGCAAATTTAAATTTCCGTGATTCGCTTGTTACATTTTGGTGAATATGTCTATATAAATATATACCTTGAACTGCTGCAAAACTCGTACAGCTTTCCTCTATTGGAGAAGATGATGAGAGCAACCTCGGCATCACAAAGAACGGAAAGCTCGTAAGCTTTCTTCAAAAGCCCGTTCCTTCGTTTAGCGAAGGTCACTTGCCTGTTGATCTTGTTCTCAATTCTCTTCAACTCCACTCTTCCCCTTCCCATTCTCTCTCTCTCTCTCTCTTTTTCTTCTTACACTCTAATATCCAATCAGGGAAAAACGAGAGTGAAAATAAATCGGAATAAAACCTGTGAATCTTTTCGTGGCTCTCTCTCTGCGTGTATGTCTTGTACACGCATATATATTTATATAGCCAGCCACGGGAGAATGAGATGGTGTCAACTCTCGTGTGACCTTCTTACTTTGTTGTTTGTGTGCGAGAAAAATATAATATTATAATTATTACTATTATTATTATTATTATTATTATTATTATCATAAATAAAAAGAAAAAAAATTTGTTGAATGATAATAAATATTTGTAATATGGCTCCTTTATGATGAAGCTGAGCAAAACCATCTTTATCAAGCCCTAATGCAAACTCCAAAATGAAACCCCTTCTACCTGTCATTTTCTCCCTGCTATCACCCTCTGGGGTGTTTAACACACTGCTAACTCCATGACAGTGACGCGCCTAAGGAAATCACAAACATAGTTTTGTAAGTGGGGAAGGCGTTTTCTGCTACGCGTAAAGTGGACCTGATTTAATAAGGATATACTCATAACCAATTTTCAAAAACCAAAACAAATTACCAACATCATCGTCGAATATCTACTGCTATCAACTCACTTTTCCTAAACAAAATTTCTAATCTCCAATCTTATAAAAGAAAATAAAAAAACGCAATCAAAATGGAACACTTCACTACAAAAATTCGGTCATTCCTAAAATATATTATAATACCTAAATTTTAATTTTAATTTAGAATTAGAAGTCTTATATACATTCTCCTCTTTTAAATCAATAAAATATTTTTTTAAAACAAAATTACAACATATTTTCTACTTGTTTGACTGATTCTACCGGATTTTTAAAGCTAAGTAAAATAATTATATTTTTTAAAACATGTTTTATTGACAATTCAATCGCTTAATTAACAAATTTTCAATTAAATTTTATCCTCTATCCATCCATAATCTATGTTGGGATAACGACATTAATTAATAATTATTCATTTAAACTGTAAAAGTTAACTTCATTGATTTATAAGAGGAAAGTGCGATTGGATTGGAGGGTAGCAAAACAAAGGAAAGCCATTGAAAGAAAATGCAACGATCAGAAAAGACTTTTGTACAAACTACTCCCTACGTTATGTACTAACTGTCATTTTAACATATTTTTTCTAAATTATAATATATCTTGTTTGTAATATGAGAAAATAATTTATTATCTTCTTTTTTTAAATCTCTTAGTTTTTAATTAGTATTCAATAACCACTTTTAAGAGTAAATTAATAAACATAAAAGATTAAGAAAAATATATTCCTGACTATTACCAGACAACAATGATTAAGAAATAAATAAGAGAGAAAAATTTACAGTACGGATGCATTATTAACATTAAATGTTATATTTTCCTATAAAATTTTCTATTTGTTTCTTAATAATTACTCAATGATTGGATTATTTTTTTAAATAAAAGTAGTGATTTCAGTAAAAAAAAATTGAAGTAGCAACTAATAAATGTAATTTCAATATATATTGAATTCAGTGCTTCCGCGCATGTTAGGTTATACAGCATTGATAATACGTCCATTAATTCCAAACAATAAACTTTGCTTAATATAATTATGTATTAATAATGTGTGGAATGCTATCAAAGTACCAAGTGTCTAAAGATATCAATTAAGGAAATAAAAGTACGAAATTTTATTGTAAAACATAGCCTTTATTAATATTATGTAAAAAAAATGTATATTTTTTTAGGGGATTTAAAATATGCATTATGGTTTTAATATTTCTTAACCACTATCCTTAATTAGATGTACACAACTTAACAACATCGAAATACTTCGTAATTTTATCCTTTGTATAGTCAGTTAGATCTCGTTAATGATTTCTATCATACAAGAAGTAAAAGAAAGGGAAAATAAATAAAAAAATCCAAAATAAGACATGTATTTAGAGTGAGTAAGTAAACAAATTATATATGGTCACTTAAAAAATGTTACTATTTAAAAAAAAAGTAGGTTAGCTAAATGCAACATGATATAAGATAAAATGTTGTTATACTATTTTTTTTTTTTTTAACATTTGAATAAAGATAATATAAGATTAATAAAATGATCATTAGTTCTACTCCAATCAGTTACCAAACAGAAGATTTATTTTCGTTATTTTGTAAAATGTGTATCCACATATTATTTTTATTTAATTTATTAAAAAAAGGGTGAACTTAAAGAAGATAGAGAGCAAATCATATTAGTGATACGTGTCAAAAGAAAAAGTGGAGAGAACCTAGTTAGGGTTCGTGCAATCATGTGACCATAGGGCTCGTTTCGAAACTTCTTTCCCCCTCTTTTTTTAAATGAAACGCTTTAAACTACGCAATATTTTTATGAATAAATTATATATAGTTATAAATTTGACCTTTATTATTTGTTAGACTCAAAGTTAATTTTAGACGATTTTTAAGTTATTAAACTGGTATTATTATTGGGGGAAAAAATAAAAATCTTTGGAAGAAATTTTAAGGATGAATCTTATGTTAAGGTTTTAAAGGGAGTTAACATTATTAGTGGTTTTAATTAAAGAAGACAAAATAAACATATAAAATAATATGATTCTAAAACCTTAAAATATTAATTTTATGAGATTTGTTCACATATATTATTCAATTTCATAATTTATATATAACATGAGACTTTTATTGTTACTTAATTTTTACATCTTAATGATCATTTATTCAAATTTCTACTTTATTACATTGATCCATCAAGATAAAAATAAAGAACAATGAAACAACAATATTAAATAAAATTCAAATCCTTAATAATTGGGGCTCAAATTATATTTCGTCGAAATTAATACAAATACAAACGATAATTTATTTAGATGAGATATTTCATCTTATCTAAAATTAAAATAGCAATCACCAATTTTACCTGTCACAATGAATCTTCAGTAAAAATTGATACTTTTATTAATATTGTTTTTACGAAAATTCTTATTTTTTATATCCATAAAAAGATTATATTACTCATTAAATGATATATTAAGGCAAGAATATTCCATCACCATTGACGAATGATTTTTTTTTTAAGATAATTGAAAAATAGAAGGAGAAAATATTGTAATCTTCAACATATAATTTGTTTCCCTAAGATGTATTATATATAAGACATGAGTTTTGATGTATACTTAATATCGAAAATATATTGAAACCTTACCATGTTAAAACCACAAAGACAATAGGAAAAAAAATGAGAATATAAAAAATATTGATAGAGAAATAAAATATTTGTTACCAAATTTAAGTTGCCACTTAACCATACAATATTTCTCAAATCAATATAAAATTTAATAAAATCATTTGATTACACGCTATGATTATTATATCATAATGATAATAATAAAACTATAAAAATAAAAAATAGTTTTAGCAATCGAAAAATTCGATTGCAAATGTCAAAAAATCGGTCATTAGTTAGCTAGCAATCGATATTAATATATTAAATTGGTCACTAAATCGATGACAAAGTTAAATTTACGTTTTTTATTTATTTACTACCTTTTTTTATCTAGAGGGAGCCCTACATATTATATTGTTATTATTATATTATTATTATTATATTACATTTGAATTATTATTGTTAGATATTATTTAGATATTATTTAATATTGTTAAGATATTGTTAGATATTAACCATAATATCAAACAATATCTTCTGTTTATTCTGTTACTTTCAGTTACTCTTTTAGTTGTATCTCTCTACTATAAATAGACTACCCTATGTGTGATTTATACACAAGGGAGATTAATCCCAAACTCTATTTCTTCTATATTCAACATGGTATCTAGAGCTTAAGGTTATTTTGAAAATTTTTTTTCACCTTTGACCACTATTGAAGCCGCCACCACCGCCGCTATCGTTGTTGGTTATTTGGTAGTGTGAAAGTGCATGTCTAGGAAAGTTCTGACAAGGAAATACTTGGTATTTAAGCGTGTCCATTAGTGACCCACCTCTCTTTCTTGGGAACTTACTTGGTGTACTGGTTCACGCCGCTGTCACTATCGCCTTCGCCCTTTATGAGTTCTTCCGCTCCTTTTAGTACTTCCAATTCTGTCAGTACTGCGTCTGATCCTTCCATCTACACTAACTATGTTAATGAGCACTTATCCATCGACAAGTTAACTGGCCCTAATTATGCCACATGGTCATCGACGTCGATTATGGCTTAAGAGTCGAAGTATCTTGATCATCTTGCCCGAAAGCACCTACTCTCACTCCTGGTGAGGAAGACCGTTGGGACACCATTGATGCTCAATTATGCGTGGTTCTCAAGGGTACTCTTGATCCTTCGTTAAAACAAATTTTTCGTTCCTACGAAACATGTGCTAAAATCCGGGAACATGCCAAGTTATTATACACCAATGATACTCAACGTCTCTATGATGTCTCTGCTCAAAATTTGTAGATGTTATTGCCTCTAAACATCAAGATTCTATGACTGATTATATGGGCAAAATTCATGCTCTTTTTCATGAGTTCAATGAGTTATTGCCTCCTTCCCCGACCCCGCCACCGAGATAGGACAACGATCAAAGTTCTTCATGCTAGGGGCATTACACTGACTTGCTAATCAATATTCACATATTCGTGATCGATTTTGGGTTCTCCGGTTGTCCCCACCTCGACATCGACTCCGCTCCACTCTTTTGCGTATACCAAAGAAAACCCAACCCCGACACACCCGCTTCGTTAATGATTCTTCTGCATTGGTATCTCATCGTGATGATCGAACTCTCCCTCGCAAACAGGGAAAAGGGCGTCCTAAGTGTGAACATTGTGGCAAGCTAGGTCACAAGATTGACCAGTGTTATGCATTACATGAGTGTGAACATTGTGGCAAACTAGGTCACAAGATTGGCAAGTGTTATGCATTACATGGTCGTCCTACTCGATCTACTGCAGCTTGCTCGGACCGATCTTTCCCCACCTT